ATTTATGTTATCAGTTAATCTGTGTTGTCAGTATTTATTTGACTATGTGTAACTTACTTGTTTAGATAAGGCTTCTCATGCAACCCTTGAAAAGCCTATATTTCAGTTATTATTTTTTAAAGTACTTATTCATCTCTAGGAAAATAATAACCTCAAGAGCACAAAAGATGAGCTTAAGGTACAGCTATCCCAAAATGGAACTTACATTATGCATGAACAGGTTAGCATTTTTAATGATTTATAAAATGCATTCGTACTCCTGTTCTTGCAGTCGCAAAGTTTATTAATTAACCGTCAGCCATACTCTCTTTGTTTGTGTRCATTTGTCTCTTTTTKAAAAAAAGTAGGCAAATGTTTTTTATTTTTTCTTCATRCAACATTTATAACAGCATCTTGTCATTATTGATTTCCCAGACTAGATCTCTGGCYGATGAACTACAATCAGCAAACAAAGAAAAGGTTATTGATGCTCTGAGAGACCAAGAAGAAGAAAGCAGAAGACTCCGTGGGTATCTTGACAGCCTACTGATGATTATCATGGAACACAATCCTTCACTGCTGGAGATTACTTAGCAAATGTATTTTTAGTGCATTTTTATAACGACCAACAGCAAGAGACCAAAATAAAGCAATTCCATTAGATCTCCTAGAAGATAGCGAAGAAAAAGCAATTATTAGCTAAGTACATGTACTTGCATCTAATAGCTATATGTTGCTATCAGAGAGTAATATTGCTTTAATTGTAGATATAATTGATCTATTCAAATCCAGAGGGTTACTGTGTGGAGGCTAAGTGAGACTTTTAAATAGATAGAAGAGGATGAGAAAATAGGAAAGGGAAGAACAGATGAAAAACAGCATGTGAGATGATTGAATGAAAGACACAAATTGGTGAAGTTAGAATTTGTTTTTGTTTAAAATTATTGAGTTTCAAATGTTTCTTGATGCTGCACAAAGTTCAGTTCCTTTTCACAAAGCAAATTAAGTGAGTTTGTCACCAAAGGCAGTTTCTCTTCCAGTTCTTTACGTTGGTCAGCTTCCGCTARTACACCCGKCAGTCTCTGGATTTTTACAGTATCAAATGAGGATAACAAAGATAGGAACAATTATAATAATTTATAAGCCTTGTGTGCCTTTCATATAGCTGGCCCTAATGTCTAAGAGCACCAGATAATAATTATTGCTTAATAATAATGATGATGATGATCATCGTCATGCATCTCTCTGCAATTGAGATTGTTATCACTAGGTTCATAATATTAAGATTGTATGAATAGACAATATGATGAAATTTGCCTTCACTACTGAATTTA